ATTCCCGCCCTTCGTTCGTGAGTTGACGCGTCGCCTATAGGCTCTCAGGACTGTCGACGACGTCGGTGAGTAGCCCGCCCTCGAGCTCGAAGGGATAACTTACTGATTACCTCGTCGCCAGACTCGACGCCGCCATGTTTACAGGGAAAGTAGGTAAGTCGTTTCGTGGGCTTTGGAGTGAGATTGGCCATTGACGTCCGCCTCTAGGAGTTTGTGCCACGAACACGTAGCACGAAACACTGTCGCACACGATGGACGACCACGAGCCGGCAGCACATCCAACACGACGAAGTCACGAAGGTAAGTACCCCGTTCATAGTGTCGTGTGTAGGCTGACACCCCCACCTGCCGGTCTTGAAGACTTCGCCGTTTGTCTCCTCATTCGGATGGACGTCGAGGTCGAGGGTCTGAAATCAAGGTAAGCATTCCAAATGGACGGATACCGGACACTTATGGCGGCAACTGACCTCATTTCAGCGCTGACACACTCTCGCCTTGTCCGTACGTCCGCCCCCTCTCGTGTCGACGGCGCCGCCCACCTATCATGTCCTTCGACGCCGTTCGTGCCGCCGCCGTTCTGTCATCCCAGCTGCCTCTCGTCGTGATGGCTATGGACAGGTAAGCTCAAATCAGTGCTCTCGAACACTATTACTTACAGAGCTTCATACAGCCGCCCCGTTACACGAATACCCCCGCCTCGTCCGCACATCAAAGGCACTGTTCACGACATCCATGAAAGCTAATAAGAAAGGTAAGCAATGTCAACGAAGTCCACGAACACTGCACTTACCCCCTTAATAGACATCTCCTGCCCCCTGACGCACGCCCATCGAGAGGTCATGGTACGTGCCTTCCCTTAAACACTGCTATTCGCCCTCTTGCTGACTCCGCCCTTGCCCGACAGAGACCCCGTACGATGACGGATGCCCTGGGTAGACACCGTGTGTGAGGGAACCCCGCCGCTCGCTCGCCATGACTCTCCCTCTCTCGAACGCGTAACACGCCACCAGCGAGTGCCCACAGCCAGCAGCCAGCACCGCCGAGGAACACACAGGTTGGTAGGTGGTCCTTGGTTCGTCTTCGAGGCGTGGTGCTAACATGCTCGCTTGCGAGCAGAAGACGGGCGGCCATTTGTGTACTTGGCCCTACACGTCTCTGACGGCCTTGACGATGCACAGGTGCGACGAGGTACGTGTACAGGCCGTATGGGGTTGGGATTGGGTCGGTTTGTGGAGGGAGCTGTCAGCGCTAGGATGGGATGGGATGACAGAGGTAAGCACAGCTCAAACGAGCTCACGGAACGCGGTACTTACGCGTTCATTGCCAGGGGACGGCTCTACGCCCCTGACTCGAACACCCTCGACACCCTCCTTTCGACGCGACCCATTCCCAAACCATTCGACTACGACGCGAACGAGCAGTCGAAGAGGATGAACCGCCGCCGCCGCCGACACCGCCCTCTGCCCTCATTCGGTTCCATGGAGGTAGGACGTTGGAAGGCAAGATGGACGACGGCGACGACGGCGACGAGGGAGAGACGGCAACGGCGACTAGGTAGGGACGGCGATGGCGACTAGGGAGGGGGTGGTGACGAGGACAGGGATGGGTGGGTATACACCCTCCAGGCCCGACATGATTGGGAATGGTGGTCATTACGGCGGGATCACATCTTCGAGAAGGTAAGTCGGTCAATAAGTAACGGGAGGGCAAACAAGAGCTTACCATGGTAGGACTCACGATCGCGAGTGCGCTGGGCGTCGAGGTTGTCGATGGGGACAGATGGCCCCATTGTCGCGGCGATCTTGAGGATGGAGGGGAGATGGCAGGAGCGGACGACGATGGCGGACGGACTGAGAGGTAGGGATGGGGCACGCAAGGTAGGAGGGGACACGAGCGAGGGAGGAAGAGAGGAGAGGAGAGGGACGCATGATGACGGCGCGGAGTGGGGATGCGATCGGGAGGGATGCTGCGATTAGGGGAGAAAGGTCTGTGTAGAGCCAACTTAGCACATGTACAGTAGCACACCACGAACAAATGAAAGACTCACTTTGTCGTTTCTCGAATCGTGCTCGAGTGGTCGGTGGAGTGGGGCTGACGCGTTGTGGATGAGAGAGGCAGGGTGAGACGGGGTGGTGGCAGGAGGGGAGGTTGAACGACTCGAACGTCGACAGCTGACCGGTCCGGACACATGACCGCGAAAGAAGTCTCTCCGCACATTTGCTGACCACTGGCACTGATTCCTCGGTCACTCTTGCTATGTCGTCTCCCCCCTCATCGGCTACCACTACCTGCGCAGCTGTCTAGGAGCCCAGTCAGGTCTCTTGCTACGCAGGCCACGCAAAAGAGGAAGACAAAGACGCCGTCCCAACCATCCTCCTCATCAAAAACACCAAACCTGGTTTCTAAACTCTCAACCGCGTCACCCACTTCCTCCTCGATCTCAACTCGGGCCAATTCTGAAGAGCCGCCCCCAAAGTCCTGGCTTACACGGAAAGTGGAATCTTCGCCTGCAGCGAAACGGGTATT